AGTGGAGGCCAAGCGATGACTTGCTCAAGGGGAATGAAATCCCCCACCCCGACGTTGGCGTCATTTGCTGTCTCCCGACTGAAAGACCATGAACACGTATGTTTGGATACACTAATTGACATGCCGAAGAGCCGGTCTTAAATGCATTGGTGTTCTGAGTTTCTCTGTCCCACCCTCTCCCGCTTATCTTCTACCTAATATGATACAACGCATTATGGTACTATTTAGTGTTTATATTCTATAATATTTTATGTGTTATCTTTTTTGTTTTGCGACACATTAGTTGACTTGGGTTTCTCACCTTCAGCTACCGTGCATCGGTGGTGATGATGATGATGCGTTAGTGTCATTGATCCTAGTCTTGGACACGCAACATTCGTCAATTCCTAGGGTGTCCAAAGTGCGTGCGAGTGCAACCTGTTGACCTATTTGTCTGAGTGTGAGTGTGGACGCCACCAGAGGAATGCTACACCGTGGTCTTATAAGGGGTTGTTGCTGATAGGCCTGCAGTGGTTGGTAGAGGATGATAGCTGCAAATGATATAACTCCAGTGGCGTCGCAGCTGCTGTCAATTTAGCTTGGTATTATGGAAGCATGACTAGTAACGGAACCTTATACCGATAATATTTACGAGCAAATTAGTATGCACTAACAAAATGTACATCAGCAATAACATCCAGCCCAAAACAGCTAGAACGGCAGACACTTCGGTTTTAGGCCAACCTTCAAAGTGATAGCGGTACAAAGTGGGGGCCACCTCCGTGCGCTGCATGTTTATAGAACAAGTGAAATGATGGGATCGGTTAGTCATACGGACAGAACTAGGACCGGGCGAACATTGAGATCAGTCTGCTTGGAGCATTCACCAAATGGATCACAGACGTACTGATGCAGCTGAAAGAGTACACGAATGGTACTAATCGGTGCGATGGAATCTGAAGGCATGTGGCAGGAGTCATGAAGAGATGTGAACTGTGCATGCAGAGAATATTTAACTCGTACCGGTAGTTCCCATTAGACTTGCTCACAAAAACAACTGGAGAATTTTATGAGCTGTGTGCCTTTTCAATCACATCCGCGTCCAGCATCTCCTGTACTTGCCTGTTTACCTCAGCCTCCATATGATTTGGTATCCTTCGAGGCCTCTGTGGGCGATACGTCTGTTGGGTTAACGGAATAGTTTGCTCGATCCTGTCACAAGGTCCATACGAGCTGGCGTCATCCGTAAACAGGGGTTGATACTTGCTGTGTGTGTTCACAACCCGGACACTTTCTGTGACCGGCTGCGGGCGACCGGTCAGGAACGGATCCACCAGTGGTTTCTGTCTTGACGCTTCATCCACTCCAGGCAGGGCATGATCCAACAAGCGCCGGATGTGAACCACAAACACTAGGGGATCCGCTTCTGCTCCTAGCTGGACCGCATCACTGCCTCCTAGCGGTCGGATGAGCTGTTCGCTCCGGACAACAACGCCTCTTTCGCAGTGGCTCACTCCACTTTGACGAAGCTTCTTTCCGTCGTCTCCAAGACCAGCTTCGCCCGGTTGGTCTTCCCTCCGATCGACTCTGCCGCGTCCCCGAACTCCCACAAGAAGATCCTCACATCCCTTCCCTCAAACGGTTCCGGTCAGTGAATCTTCATGATCCACCTTAACAGGTCACGACACCAATGTTGTTTATTGGGGCAAACGTCATGAACCACATGCATCAGTTATGGTCAACAAAAATTGCACTCATGTACGCGCTTTCTATTAGTGGTTGCGTGATACGCACCACTTCGGTGTCTATCCCTCGTGCGCATACACCTGCGGTGCCCACGCGCTCCTTTTTTGTCGGGGCGGTAGTACGGTCCGCTGTTGTCCCGTTACCATTTGGTTTTTCTGGCACTTCTGTACTACTAACACTGTTTGTGCTTTCCGCTTATGCTCCCACAGACTACAGTTCTGTTGCCAAGGACGCATTCTACCACGAGCTGGACACGCTACTACGCAGCGCTACCAATTCAGCTATCATATTACTTGCAGGGGATATGAATGCACAAGTAGGTCGCCTAGGCTCTTCAGAAGCTCAGCTAGGTGGTAAATATGGGCTTAACTCCGACCGTACGTCGAGCGCCAGCTGTCTCTTAGCAGCCATTTGGTTTAGAGACTCCGTCAGAGACTGAGGTCCGAAACGCGATCGCATCTCTCAATCATTTTCGTGCTGCTGGGCCGGATTCCCTTCCACCTGCACTATTTAAGGATAGAGGTGAGTTCCTCTGGAAAGCACTAAACTCCCTGTTCGAACATGTGTGGGAGGAGACTGTCCCGACTAACTGGAGTGGCGATATACAAGAAAGGCAGTCGCACCGACTGTGTTAACCACAGAAGTATTAGCCTAACGCCAATTGTGACCTCAGTTCTCGTTCGTCGCCTCACTGCGGAACGAGAATCAAGGATTATGGAAGAACAGGCTGGTTTCCGCCCATGTCGGGGCTGTTTAGACCACATGTTCGCTCTGCGGCAGTTGCTAGCGCGCTGCCACACATACCGCAGACCGACAGTAGCTGTGTTCCTCGATTTCAAGAGTGCTTTCGATTCAGTCGACTGATGCGTTCTGTTCGAGATACTTGCACGGAAAGGCGTTCCCATGAAATATGTGAACATTTTACGTGCTCTGTACTCGGACACTACAAGTCGCCTCATGGTCTATGTTAGGAACAAATACGCGAGTTGAACAAGCCAGGACCTCATCGCCGCGGCCGGCGATCCAAACCCATCCGCCCTGATTGGGGCGAACAGAAAGCCAATCAGGAGAATCAGCCAGTGAACGCTAGGTCGAAGTTCCTTTATTGGCTGTAAGTTAACCTTTCCAGAGCTTTCACGGTCGCTTTATATACTGTTCACGAGCTTTCCATTTTACCTTTATATTGAACGTTGTGATTTGCTAATTCATTCCTGTTGCTCTGCTCGTCCTATCCGGTCTTCTCTCTGTCCTGTGGGGGGGGGGGGGCAGCGACTTCGGGTTGATTGGGAATCAAGCGTCCATTCAGGCGAGGGACGAACACTTCAGTCTACAGTGATTTGTCGATACCTTTCCGACCACAAGTGTCGTTCGTCAGGGTTGTCCAATTTCTTCATTTTTGTTCAATTTCGTGGTGTACTGCTTCAGAGAGTGTTCCCTTACAGAACTTTGCCATGCAGACGTTGAAGGGCTGTCTGGTGAGTATCTAGTTGGTCTTAGTTATGCGAACGACATTGTCCTGCTTTTCAACGATGTCGGGGCGGCACATTCATCCCTGTATAGCCGCTCTAGAGTGGTCCCATTATTTGGTATGCGCTTCGCACCACCAAAGTGCTGTTCCAGGACAACTAGCCACTCGATAACCCCTTGATGGTGAGGAACTCGAGGTAGTTGATCACTTCGCCTACGTTGACAGCTGCATCAGCAAAGATGGGCGCATATCAAGTGAAGTCAGTTCACGCATTGCAAAAGCTAGAACTGTCTTTTTGAATCCTGTGACACATTCGACGTCAGAAAGGGATTTCGCTCTGTCTAAAAGGCCGTGTATACAAGGCCACAGTGAGGGCCGTTCTCCGTTATGGTAGTGCGACTTGGCCTTTTCGGTTTGAGGAGCAGAGGTGCTTACAGGTCTTTGAGCATCGATGCCTGTGTAGCACTGCTGGTGTCGGATGGTACCAGCGAGTCCGCAACGATGATGTGCGTAAGTGAGTACTAGACAGTGATAACCAAGCTAGTTCCTTAGAACAACAGGTAGCACTGAGTAAGTTGCGTTGGCTTGGGCACGTGCTACGTATGCTCGGTCACGGCTTACCGAGGAGGGCCTTGTTTTGTTTGCCACATGTAGGGTGGCGCAAGGCTCGAGGTGGACAAAAGTTGACTTGGCACCATGAAATGAAGTCACTAACGAACAAACTTGGTGTCGTCGGTCCGTCTCGCCTTCCAGGCTGGAGTGCACTTGATCCGCCTTGTGTTTGGCTCGAGATGTTACAGGACATGGCTCGCAGTGGACACTAGTGGCGCGTGTGCTGTCGTCCCCTAGCCGGATTACCTGTTTACAGTGTGTTTGCTGCTGAGTTATCTGCGGGGTAATTGATTATGACGTGTGGCAGTGGAAGCCGCAGTAAAATTATCTTTTTGATGCTCCGTTATATTTCCACGTTAGTCAGCTGTTTGTGATCGTGTGTAGGCGCCTTAACCCGGTTTGTTTGTTTAGGGCACTAAGGTTTTACGCTAGGCCCATCTTTTCTCTCTCATCGTTCTTCATTCCTTAGGTCGTTGGGCTTGTATGGCAACGAAGCATCAGTCCAATTGGCTGATGTACTGCTGTTGATGATGATCATCATCCTGATGATGATGATAGTGTGGACAACTACCGGACATTTCTCTCGATTGTCTCATTATCTCTTATTCAGACCGACTACAGCTTTCACCTCCATCTTATTTTACTATCTCGTGCTTGCTTCGACTTTGCGTAACTTTCCAGGATGCTCGAAAGGGGTTCCTAAAGCATTTATCAAAGTATCGATTCAAAATGGTTGTACTATCCACTAGTCACTTCCGTTGGTCAGTGAACCATTCTTCTATAAGGTGACCGAATTCGAGTACAATCTTATTTGTACACTTTCACGAGCTGCTTGCGCATCAGCGCAAACCATTCTCAGTGTTTTTGCGAAAGTGCTTATGTTTCTTCTACACTGGTTGCTTCTCTACTTGCGTCATGTGACAACGTCATCGAGGAAACTCATCGTGTCAACGAAGCGCCGCTTTTTTTAGTCTTTGTGCATCAGTAATGTTCTGCTCGTTTCCTATATTTCCGTTCTCCCCTTTTGCACATAAGTTCAATGTAGGAACTGCTTGTAACTTTTCTAACTTCTTTTTTAACATCGTTAAAGTCCACGGGTCTTTTACTGCCTGTCTTTGAAAGAGCTGAACTCTTCCTATATTTTGTCTTGAATATTAGACTGATCACACTCTCTGTACAATTTCACTTCTTCCAGGTCTCAACCACTTGCTCAAAAGTCCCTTTTGTATACATCCGAAAACCGGCCATATCTGCGTTCCGTTTGATGCTGCTCATGTGGACTCACTGACGCCCAACAATATCCCTACTCTGAGTCGACTTGTGGAGCAGCTTGGCGATCGATCTGCTGACGATACATCCGTCTTGAATGAGTCATCTACTGAGCGACACCTTTTGGCTTACAAAAAGACTGATCTGAAACCCTACATCGAATATTTTGAATCTTTCATACAACGCCTATGTCCAGTCCAATCGGAACAAGAAAATTCTTCAAATGCAACTTTACGAACCTCACAGAAATATCAGAATCCTCCAGATATTCCTGTATTTTAGTACTTCTCACCACACTGTACACTGTCCGCATTTCTATCGGTGCCCCATTCAGGTGCTATGAAACCGAAACCAATGACATCCCATCAGCGCTCAACAGCGAGACAACTTTTTTGTGAAATTGACTCCCATCACCTGGGACCTCCTGTCTTTTTGTATCATATATATTCATGATTGCTACCACGCTGTTCCACTTTCAATTTATCCCCTCTTTTCATTCGCCCTCGTTGTGGACCTGATGCGGCCGTTTGCTCCTTTGCGGGGTCAGGCTTTTCGTCTGCAACCTTGATTCGAGTTCCATCTCTTGTATAAGTTTGAGCATTCTCGTGGCACTCTAGCTTCCACCCACCTGGCATGATGCATGGCGATGAAGTATCGATACTCAATACTGTTTTCGAATATCATTCTTTTATGTTCCCCAACGAATGGCTGTTCGTGGTATTTTACATCCGTTCTCTCACTGACGCAAACTCTACAGAATAACGTTTGGCCGCGTGGTAGTTACCAATGTCTTAGTAGTGGGGCATTCTGGCTTTGAGTTTCATCGGTCGAGAAAAAGCGTGCTGTTGCCATTATCCACTTCTGAACTTGTGTCGTGGTTGCTTTCTTGCTGTGAGTTTCTTTGTCCTTCCCCATCCCTCTTAGCCTCCTTCTACAACCACAATCTCATTTTTTAGCACAACATAATTTTGCTTAATAATTTTTTGCTGCATAATAGCCGGCTGGTAGTTTTCCGGAACGACGCCCATTCGTTACTGGTAGCTCAGCTGGCATGCATCAGTTGCATGTTTTTTCTTCTGTGTATTGCAACATATTAGCTGAGGTGTTTTGCACCTCTAGCTAACGTGTATAATGATGATGGTGGTTGCCTGATTAAGTCTACGGCACTCCATCTAAATTAAGCAAGCCTGCCCACTGGTACCTCATACTTTCTCGTTCGTTACAACCAGTGTGCAGCGAAATATTTTTTACAAGTTACCATCACCGTCTCTTGCTTGCTTTATATTTAGCATCGTTGCTGCTCCATTGGTGATGCAGCGACACCACCGAGGCATTTGCATTCCCTTTTCCCGTTGCTGTCCTAGTATACGGTTTGCCGTGAAACTAGAACACCCGGTTTTTGCTTCTTCGAATTTTATCCCCGTCTTTTTGACCGTTTCGTTATGCATCATAGCGCTTAAGATCGTCGTTCGTTCTCTTTTCTCGACGTCGACATGCGCACGCAAACCTTGTTTTAACACCTAACACTCGTTTTCGCCTTTATTGCAATTCAAATTTCCTCAATAGTTCTCATCCAGACAGCGTGAACTTTCCGCCATACTTTCAAACTCTTCGGATCCATTAACGCGTTTTTATTATTCATTGGCCAATTATCTGTTTGTTTTTATTGCACACCCTTTATTGCTACCACACTACGTATCTCTCGCGACTTAACACTTATGGTGTACGGCACAAGTTGATTCCCTGACGCTAGTCCATTACAGTTGTTGACGCCCTTTCGTCTAAGGATCGCGCTTTCGGAGTGTACGTTTTGGGGCCAATATCTTTCAAACCAAACCCGTTCCTGTACGACGGTACTGTTGTTCCGTACTGAGGTGTACTGCCACTGAATTGCTTCCTCACCTGGGACCTTGCAATCGAATCAAACATGAGCAACTCAGCGCTATGACACACTGCAGACCATTGAACTCCACGGCTAGGCTGTCAGGGAGGGCACACTCGGTGAAGTATGGCGTTATCACCATAGACACTGTTGCACCGCTGTCCTTGCGCTCGCTGTTTAAGTCTACCAGCCCGTCTTTTCTAGCTACAATTCGGCTGTTAAACCACATACTGTTGACAATTGCAGAAGTAATTAGGATGGCTGCGTAGATTCCATCTTCATTTTCCCTGATCAGCTGGTAGTTCGATGATTGTCCCATCTTCTGATTGATCTCGACACCTGGAATCACAAGAGGTCATTTATCGGCGAATGTTGTTTGGGGAACCTCATAATCCGACTGCTTTGCATTAGCCGGGTGTAAAATAACTCACACAGTCATCTGAAACCAACCTACGTTCGCAGTGGTCATCCAGCGTATCTCCATCGCCGATGTACGGCATCTGGATTGGTGCATGATTCCGTGCTTATAATTCTTCGTTCTGGGATTCCGCGAAGAAGACGAATCCTTTATTCCCAAAAATGTATTTAATGCTCCCACAAATCACGAGCGGACAGAGAAACTCACTGGCACCACTGTACAGTATAAGTGCTCTAACAGTAATGTACTAAGTGTTGTCTGGCTATGCCCTATTTGAACGGGACCGATGAAATCGTTTGGGAAACAGCTCATCAGATATAATTGCGTTAATGGATTTTGTTACTGAGAATAAATGCGTGTGTGCGCACAAAGTGAGGTTACTACCTAACTCTGCACTAGTGTTAGCGGCACTATGTACAAGTGGCCAAATATAAAACATCTGATAAAAATTGCCTGGAGAACTGATCTCTACCTGCTACAGCGTTTTAAGCAATGTCCCAGAGGGGGTGGCCTACGGGATAAAGGTTTTTTGAAGGCACAAGTCGAAATGTTGGAGCAAAATGAATATTGGCGACTGGGATAGCAATTTTCTGGCCAGTGTAATTTGATATGCTCTTCTTAATGTCCCATCTTTCTATGGATGTTCTTGCGTGCCTTGATACATGGGAGAGAGCGACAAACAGAAGAGTGCCGGTAGCAGGTGGTAGCAGTCTTAAAATCAATCTGGGGAATGAACTCTCCTTCTTGACCTTGTCTGCCATAAGATGACTCTGACTTAGCTTTAGCTGCCTAGAGTGGGGATGAGTTTCGGTAGGCTTGGATGTTTGCTACGAACCTAGTGCCTTGTGAACACTTGTTGGTTGCTGTTCGCGTGGTCCGATGGAGGTTACATGGCCTACGGAAGCTGCTTTGTATTTAGCACAAAAATAAAAAATCATACCACAGATTGTGGTGTGGTGTCCTCTTTTCGGGCATTTTTATCAACCGCTTACGAGCAGCGAATGATTGGCAAACGAGGTACAAGGTCATCTGTGACCGATTTGTGGCTAAGTAGTGGTCGATTTGCCAATTTCGCACTACCACTGTAAATCCAATATCACTGTCAGCTGTTTTTGTATGCACAGCAGTTAACTCTATTCGATAACAGTGGCCTCAAGCAGCTTGAGTATGTGGGTAGTTTGATCGTTCATGCGGACCGTGAATGACGCCTCATAATTGGTCTGATGATCGGTATTCAGTAGGTGCTTCGTGATTATTGAGGTAGTCTTACCTCTCGATTCACGTATCTCACCCGCCAGATATCCAGTTCGTCCATTCGGACACCCAAACTTCGATCAGCGCACTCGACGTATCTGTCTCAACAACTAAGTAGAATTTGTATGGACAGTGGGACGTGCACTACTTCAATGTTGGTGTCTTCAGTGAATAACCAAGCTGTGGTCTCGTCAACAGGAGCAGTCCTAATTCATCTGCACTGTGGGATTTTTCACTGAAGTGCTTATCCGTTTAGCATCGACTTTGATGAGATGAGCACATTTGAATGGCTGCTCTATAAACACCGGCTCCATTTGATTAGCTGCTATTCGATCTCTTTTCGCTGACACATAAGCGCTTGAGTAACTACAGCAGATATCCTCTGTACTGCAGCGTTTCGAACAGCAATTCTTTTCCGGTTTCCAGTCCATCGAGTACAAACCATGTGGATAAAACCGAACAATGTCCGGATTGGAAATGCGTGTATGCTGCGTATGCAGAAATCTCTTAAAATGAGCGTACCAGCCCGTCCAGTTCGCTTTCCTGCAAACTGGTCTTCTGATATAAGAAGCATCCGGTCGTCTTGGTAGCAGGAAGCGAACCGATCACGTGATCTTGTCCCTTCTGTTTCTATCATTTGCTATGTATATGTGATTGATAAGAAGGCACGAAGTGACCCCATCCCACAGTCAGCGCTTTTCGTTTTTATGTAACTTTTTGTTGATATCGCACTGTCTTTTCCCCTTCGATGCCGCATCAAATCGTCCTTCTTACGGTGGTTCAAGGGCCTTTCGGACTGTATTGTTTTGTAACCCTACGTGAGAACAACTTGACCGCTTATTGGTTTACTACCACTTTATGCGTGTGTGACAAGGATCTAGACCTAAGAGATGGAGAAAGTTTTAGTGGCCTATTGCATTAACGTCGATTGACTGAATGGAATCAGTCGGAAGCCTTGACCTGGATGCCGTCTACCAGCCATGTGGTAGAGCAGCCTAAATCGGCTTTCAAATATCTTTCGAATACTGAATAAAACTCACGGGAACGTTTTGATCCAAAGAACAATGCTAGAACACGTCATCAAAGAGATGTTGAGCTGGCGATGCAAACGTTCCGCTAACCCATTCGCTGCTAGGTCACTGGTAGTTCTGATTCGTTGGGTTCCGAGAGTGTTAGTCAACTCTCAAAGGAGCTTTGATCGAATTGCAGTTCGCGGTCTGTTGTGAGGACATAGTATACCGTAGTGTAGGAGCCATTGGGCTGAATAGTTATTGAATCCAGTCACTGCGAAAGTCTCCGCACTGCTTACTGTCCAGATATCTCCCCCTCCTGAAAATCAAACTGAAGAGTGGACAACTATCCAGAAATCTATTATGGAGGAACAATGTGTCATTGTAAACTGCATTAATTTGATCCACTACTGTAGCTCACTTTACCTGACCGATTCTTGCTAGACATCTGTTCATTGGCTCGCGCTCATTGTTCGTTCACCGCTGTTTGTTACACCTCAACCTTGACCGGAACAAAGTTGCGCTTTGTTCACAATATCCAAACTTAATTGTGGGCCGTTCATTCGGTCCGTGCGAACATGGTTAGCTAGCGCCTGCGGCGCTGATTGGCTTTCTACCTGCCGGTTCCGTCTCTTCCGCTCGCTCCGTTGATCAGGTACCATGGCACCTCTCGCCGTCTACTCAACTTTAGTGCCGCGCGCGGGCAACT